GGAAATAAGGCCATGTTAGGTGCCATCACCAGTGCCCAGCATACTGAGGAAGGTCAACTGTAGAAAACTGAGTGCCTTTATACAAAATGATGTGCGAAAACTTGTGACAACACTGGAAGTGAAGTATCTGTCTCAGAGATTTCCTTTTAGTGTCTGCTCTGCAGCAAAACTCATGCTGTATCCTGAGGTGCTGCCCCAAATACGGATGTAAACTTGGTTTTTACCTCTGTATGCTGAGCTCTTTTCTTTTCACGCTGCTCACAGTCTCTGCAGGAGGTCAGCAAATTGCAGGGTTTATAATTAAATGGCTCATTCACAGTCGCAGTCACCTGCAGGAGGCAAAAATGAGCCAGCCCTGTAGGATCAGGTAAAAAATTCACTCATGCTTTTGCTGAAGCTGAACTTGATTGAACTTGATCGAGTTGGTTGAAAAAATCAGTTTCTTCATCATAAACAGAAGAGACGAAAAGCAGATTACACCAACTAACAAAATAAATGAATAAATAAATGAATCATCATCAACAACAACATTGTTTTGCAAATAGACAGATTTAAAAAATGCTCTCCTAGCTAATTGCTGTTTCCTGCTTAATTCCTGTTCTCTATCCAGAGTCCTGTAAGCACATTTTTCAAGTATGTCTTAGCTGCTGACCATCTTTCTAACGTCAGTTTGACTGCATAAATGCACTGTATTTAATCTGCCTCAATGTATTGCAACGGATGTGCATATTTACATGCACGTTTGATTATGTGTATGAAAAAGTGGGATATGCATGTGTGTGTATAAATGAAATGTATATATAAAAATATATATATGGAAATGTATATGAACGCATCTGTATGCATATGGTGTGCATTTGCCAAAGGGTTAAGGTTTAGACTGTCAGTTTGTACCTCTTAGGACATATTTGTCCATGACCACTGTGTAGTTCATGGCAGTGACTCTCATTGCAGGGATATACTTACACGCTCAGGCAGGTGCAAAGTGTTAAAGCATTCCTGGCACCAATCAGAAAAAATGCCTGTCACTGCTGACTCTGCTCAGGACACACTGAAAAAGGAATTTCAGCCCCTCTCCTGCACTGACTTAGATGTTTGGGCCTGCACCTTAATTTTTTCAGAGATCTTGATTAATTAACCAAATATCTTGATGATGTCCTGTAATAAACGAATGTTTAACACCTGCCCAACTGCAGCTGCCAACAGGGCTGTATATATTTACATAATAGAAAACTTGTGTTTGCCATGTTATTTAGTTCAAATTTCTACAAATTTGGCCTTTTACTTCGAGGGCTTTTAGAATCAATGGGAAGTGGTGGTGGTGAGGATTCAGCCCTATTAAAGGAGATAGTGCCCACTCAGCAGGAGCCAAGAGATGCTGATTTTCAAATAAGAAGTGAAGGAAGGGAGCTCAGTTTACATGGTTGACTTCTCTTGAGAGGATTAGTAAAGAGGCTGATGAGTGACTTAAGGCTGACTACTTCATTCCCCTGGGTCTCATTCTTGGCATTACAGATGTAATAGGTACTCAACTTGCTAACGAGCCAGAGTAATGAGTGATGTTCATTACTCAAAAATTACATGCATACTGTCAGCAGTGAGTTGATGCTATTTCACTGTGTCCTAAAGGAAGACCAGAAAGAATGATTTTGTCCATCCAACATGAAGTTCTGCATGGCCTCAGCTTAGAAACTCTATTTATCTTCCACGTCGTCACAGAATCATACAATCATAGAACATCCCAAGCTGGAAGAGGCCAATAGGGGTCACCAAGTCCGACTCATAAGTCATCTCCAGAACTTGGTAGGAAATCGGTCTACACATGGGGCTTGCAAGCAAGATGAAGTTTTGAGACTCAGATACATAGAAGGCTTTTTGGATAACCATGAATGAAAGTAGTTCTGAGCAAGCAAGCAAGCACCAGGAGAGGTCATCCATATGGGTCCCAGGAAGACTCCTTAGAGTGCCTGTTGGTTAGTATTTCCCTAATCTGCCTGCTAAATTTATATGTTGATGGTATGGGAAATGTGGGGCTATGAACACTCCTGGCAGGAAGGATGGAGAAGACTTAGGACATGCTATCACATGTGGCTGATGAAGATAAGCTGGATCATGGCTCAGGAGATGGGGGATTAGGATAATTCCCTGAAGGCAGACCTACACCTCTGCAACATTTCAGACATTTCAGGGTATCTCACAATGGGCCACTAAAGCTCTAATTGGAGACTTATGGTCTCTGGAGAATGAGCTCATCCACTTGGAGAGTTACCATGAGAGATTTCCATATAGCAGTAATAGCATCATAGAATCACAGAACTGTTTCATTTGGAATGGACCTTTAAAGGTCATGTTGTTAAACTCCTCTACAATGAACAGGGACAATAGTAATAACAGGTAACAATAGCTTATACCCCCTCATGGGCTGGTATAAGCTAAAAAGTTTTAGACTGTCTAGCCACAGACTCCTCTTATTTTGACTGAACACACCAATTGTTGAGATGGGTTATGCCAAGCACCATGTGCTGTCATCTGCTTCTACCTGCAGGTGTCACAGCAGGGATGCATCACAGAGAATTGGTCTGTGGCCCAATTAGTTCCAGTGAGATCAAGAGTAGTCATTACTTCTGGGGACATGCTGAGCTGTGATGGCTCTGGACCAAAGTCCTGGAGAGCAGCAATGTTGGATCAAATTTGGCAGACCCCCAAGCCTCCTGCAGACCTATCCATAAAACTAAAAGGACTATTCCTATAGCCTATACCTGTAAACCTCCAGGTGAAGGAGCAGAGTCTAGGAAATATGTTCCTGATGGACACTTCAGCCATTCAAGGGTAAATGCCAAGGAATTTAATATCTCTAGCTCAACTCATTAATTGTTGTCTTTCAGGAGTGATTTGCTCAACTACTTCATGCACTGAGCCATGCTCCTGGAGGTGATGGAGGTGGAAGGGACATCAGGGTGAGATTGGGGTTGGCTTTGCATCATGTGGGCAGGGGAGCATCAGCATCTCCCTGGCCCCAATGGAAACTGTAAACCAGCATTGCTGCCTTCTGCCATTCATAGCCTCATAGAATTGTTTACGTTGCAAAGGACCCTTAAAGGTCATCTAATCCAACTCCCCTGCAATGAACAGGGGCAACTACAACTAGATCAGGTTGCTCAGAAAATAATCCTCCCTAATGTATTAAATTTCATCCCCTTATGACATACACTGGAAAGAGGACAGCAAGGCTTCTTTTAGAGATACTCATGGAAAAGCAGACTGGAGTGCACAGAAAAGTCTTCATGCCTTGGAAATATGCATAACGATGGAAGGTGGTTTTAGAGTGCCAAGAAGCTACAAGCTAAAGGCAAATAATGGATCTGAGAGGGTGAAGTTTGATCCTAGATTATAGCTCTTCCAGTGCAGCAGCTTGCAGGTCCAGGAGAGGTGTTTCCCAGCACCCGAGCGTGATGCAAACCACACGTGGGGCACTTTTAAGAAGCAGACATCGCTAGAGTTCACACCTCTTTTATTAGAAATAAGACACATTCATTTTGTGCTCTGAAAACTGTACAGAAAAAAAAACCTGACAAACATAGGAGGGAAGGGAAAGCATGGTATGGGGCAGGGCAGGGCGAGGGAAAACAGAATTAAGTGGAGGAATTGAGCAGAGAAAGTCGAATATCAACAGTTATTAAACAAACATTTATCTCTGTAATTACATAACACCGTTAATGTCCTGCAAATGGGCTGGAGTGAATGGGTGAGTGGGAAAGGTCAGGGGAGAAAAGGGGAGGTTTGGCTGGGCATGGAAGGGGAGGAAAAAAAAAAAGAGAGAAAAGATTTAAAACACAGTATAAAGATATCTGTATGCTAAAATTCATTATATGTAACTATAATAATTACAATATCATACAATCCGGCATCTGAGGGAGGCCTTTGTGCTTTCCTGTTTCATAGAGTAATCTAAAATTGGGTGATAATATCACAGTTTTTATAAGTAATAATTTTCCTTATTATTAAAATGTTTGGATTTGTTTGTTTGTTTGTTTGTTTTTAAGTTTTTCTTTCCATTCATCCAGTATATTACACACTTAATGGCAAGGTAGATGCCACTGTCCTTAAAGACCAATAACCCACATGGCCCAATGGAAAGAGGAAGCAGAGACGTTAGGATGTCAAGCAATGTCTCTCAATGAGAGAAGCAAGACTGGGGTCAGCGATTAGTTCACCTCTTGTATTCATTCGTTTTCCCTAAAAATGTTAAAGAATAAAAAAAGGAGACACTCAAACACGCTGTAACGATGCAGACCCTGATCAAGTTTTAGTGCTGTCTGGAACAATACGGCTGCTCACAAGCAGAAGTTTGGTACAGCACGTCCCCAAAGCTGGGAGAGTTGTTCCAAATGTCATAGAATCATAGAATATCCCAAGTTGGAAGGGACCCATAAGGATCACGCTGTTGGAAATGGTAAGAAAAAATAAAAGAAATAAAAGTCTGCTTGAAATGTCAGTGGTTTATTTGTTAAAGTTAAAAATATTGCACAACACTTTCGGGTGTGAAATGTAGGGAACTTTTTTCTCTTTTTGTAAATAACTCTGAGAAATGTCTAATGAAAAACAAAAAATTGCTATTTTTTAAACGTTGAAATAAAAAAGACAGCATTTTATGATGAAAAATGTCCCACTCTACCGACCAGCTCCACCTTTTTGTTCTGGTAGGAGTATAAACCTGCCCGTTGGCTCTGGGCACTGGGGAAGGAGAAGAGCCAATGAGGGGAAAATAACCACAGATGAAAATGAATAAAGCAAAGCGAAGTATTGCAAGTGAGCAGCGATGGGGCTGTGTGTTCCCACCATCCCAAACTTTCCACGCAGCAACTTGCCTTCCACCTTCAGTAGGTGGCATCCTCACCCCATGCCTGTGTATTCGTACGGCACAGAAAGGCATTCGAAACGACAAGAGCCAAAGAAAGGAAAGGTCTCGGGTTTCAAGTTCTCTTTTTATTGAAGAAAAGAAAAGAAGAAGGAAAAAAATAGATTTTTTTTTTTGTTTGTTTGTTTGTTTCCAAGTGGACGTTATTCGTGTTGTCAGTTTGTCTCAATGTCCTAAGGCAACATCTCTGTATACCAAATATCTCCAGGTACATTGGTGGATCTGTCTTTCCCTCTTTCTCTCTCTGCCTTCCAGGGAGGGGCAGCTTGGAACAAATCTGAGTCCAAAAGGAAGGAAAAGTAACAGAAAAAAAAAAGAAAAAAGAAAAAAAAAAAAAAGGATGAGGCCAAGCAGACCTTTGCAAGGCCCGTGCTGAGTTTATCTATGTAACAGTCAATGAAATGACCTACATTCTTCTTGTTGGTCTGTTTTTCTAACACCTTCAACCCTTTCCCTGGAGACGGGGCGAGCAGATTTTGGAGGTGGTTCCTTTCTCCAGTGCTTGTCCCATCCCTTAGGGTGCACAGGAGCTCCACCATGAAGGGCTGAGTGGAGAAAGCCCCACCTTACCTCTCCCTCTAAGCCATAGATGACGTGACTCTCATCACCACTTCCCCCTGGTCCCTTTAGGGATATGCTGCAGAGATGCCAGGACACCAGATCATGGGGTAGCATGAAGAAGTGGGGACGTTTCCTCAGCCACTGCTTGACAGATCCCGGCTCCTTCCTTCTCAGACGAGATGATGAGGGAGAGGTGGGAAATGAGGACTGGCAAGGGATGCCATAGGTTGTGTCTCTTCCAGGACCTACAGCCACAATGCATCCCGGTGAGGCTCCCGCCGACATCACCTCCTGTGCTCCCCAGATAACCTCTATCTTCTTGGCTCATGGTGGTGGTTTCTGGGTGTCCTTCTGCAGCTCTCCGTGGCACGACAGGAAGGGTCCCGGCGTATGGCAGTGGCCCCAAAGCATCTCGACAGGGCTCTTCCCCAAAGCATCTCAATAGGGTTCTTCCCCAACAGCTCCTCCCCACCCTCTGCCTCCTCCTCGCTCTCTTCCAGGCTCACTTCTTCTCCAGTCCTACCTGGCAAAGCTCGTGTTGTCCTGAACCTACATCTACTATACTCTATAAAGCAATATTTCCCCACTCTGCTGAGAACGATACAAAAGTTACTCCGTCTTACCAAAGGTTTCAAAAGAAACCAAACACTTCTCTCGCTCGGTTCCGATTTAATTTAATCATTTCTTTAAAACGTGGTTTTGTTTGTTTGTTTCATTTGTTTTCTGGAAAAAAAAGTCCCTTTCTTCCCCTTTCGCTCAGACCTCCGTCTGAAGGTCAATAATGTCTTGTCCCACCAGAGGGATGGTGGCCCCTGTTTTCTCCCACTCTACAGTTTTTAGTTCTAGGGGAGATTGTGCCACAGGTTCGATGTCCTTTTTAACCCATGACGGTGGGGACTGGACTTTCCTGATTCCTTCCCAGGGTCTCTTGTTTGGTGTCTGCTGTTTTTCTTGCTGCGAGAGGAGGAAAGTGTAAAAGAAAGAAAAAAATAAGAGAGAGATAAAGGTTAGATAAAGGTTAGATGCAACAAATGCTATTTTTTCTCCTTCCTTACTCTTATACCAAAGTAAATCTTTCTCATCCAAGATAATGTGGGATTTCAATGAAAATTTCAGTTGGTGTCTATTTTCAGGAAGAAAATGTAAGCTTTTTTCTTTTGCTGTCTCTAGCACGGTACCTAAATACTTCAGCCTTCAGCCAAGGCTTTTGCCTTTCACAACTCCACTGGAAAACTGAAAACAATTTTCAGAATTTAACATCGTTTTCTATTTCTACAGGAAATCCCTGTGTGAAAATGCAGATTACATTGAGGTCTCTTTGAATGTACACTGACCGCATTTTATGTAGATGCGAAGACATCTATTACGTAGCACAGCTATTTATGGGCAATGGAACTGCAGTATGCTGGCTACTTTGCCAGTGAACTCATGCTGTTAGATGGGCTGTAATGTCAGCTCTGAGGCTGAAAGCATTGCCATCAGCTCTACACAAAGCCTTCAAGGCTTTATTGACTGCTATTAGTCCCCTCCTATGCTAGTGTCCCCACCATGGATATCAGTCCTGGGAATGCCTTTCAATGTTTCTGCTGGTTTGCAACTAGGTAAGACCCTGTAAAATGGGTGAACTCTTGAAGGGGAGTCCATGCAACAATTTTAAATGAACCATTACGCTAAATTGGCACCCTCCACCAAGAGTAATGGTTTTCACAATTAATTATCCCCATAAAACACTCCAATACTCGGTAAGAAAACGCTTCACTACCCGTGGCAGGAGAACAGAGCTCTTTTGAGCCATCTGCCAACAAGAAAGTGGAGACTGGCAGAAGGGGTGGGAAGAAAGGCAGCTGCACGGGAGTGACAAGGAGGGAAGAAGTCTGGGAATAAGATGAGGAGACATGCATGGAGATCACATGCAGTACAGGATGATAACGTCACCAGAATACATTAATGAGAGGAGATAAAGCCACACACAGACTATGATTGCACTGTAGGATGCTGCAGAGATGAGTGATCCCCCATTTGAAACCTAAATGCCCAACTGATACACACTAATCCACCTGACTTGGATTTTGAATTTGTTCCTTCCTCAGAGCTTTTAGGTGGCCTGTGATTTGCAATGACGATGAGAAAGACACCGCATCTTCATCCCAACAGGGTTGGCTTTCATCACTTCACTCAAGCCACAGTTTCTCCATTTCTAAACTTTCACCCATTATATAAAGCGTGTTTGGAGTTGTCCCTGCATCCCGGCAGGGATCTTCTCTGAAAGTGTGGTAATGCATTGCAACAGGCTGCCCTGGGAGGTGGTGGCATCACCATCCCTGGAGGTTTTCAAGAAATGTGGAGATGTGGCACTTGGGGACATGGTTTAGTGGGCATGGGGTGGAGGGGTTGATGGTTGGGCTTGATCATCTTAGTACTTTTTCCAGCCTTATAGATTCTGTGATTCTTTATGTATATGATTCTTTTCTGTGACTCTTTAGGTATAAGGCTCTGGGAGAAGTCATTTGGTGGCCAAAGAAACAAATGTACGAACCAAGTCATGTTGGTCCTCTCTCCAAGGGGATGTGAAAGCACTCTGAAATTATCATTGTTTTAATGCAAGGGGAGAAAATATAACTTTTTATAAGACCTTTGAAAGAGAGGGTTTTTTTTTTAATCAAATTTTGGAAAATTATTGTTCAGAAGAATGCAAAACACTTCATTTTTTTTAAATTCTGCAGCTGTGGTTTGCACTAACCCTTGTGACACACAGGTTCTCTTATGACCTGTGTTATTCTTACTTTATTCCATGACGTAGTACAACTCTGATTACTAGCAATATGACAGAAAAGATGATACAACTGTAGGCTAATTCCATTATTTATTTTGAAACTCATGTAAGAATTACTGTTAGTAAAACCTGAGACCTTTTCATCTCTGTGAGTGTTATAATAAGACATGTTCAAGCTGTCCTGAGGTGAAATTTTTACCTGTGGTGTTTTTGCAGACCATTAGTCTGCCATGAAAAGATGCAGTGAGGTGATGCACAAATGGAGCAAAATCTGAAATGAAACTGTAAGTTTTCCAAAAGATGAGGAATAAAAACCTTTGCCACAGTTGCTCTTCTCAATGAAAAATATTTTTTCTCCCACAACTGTTTTCAGTGCCTTACTGACGTCCACTGCTGTGTTATTTAAAAGAGAGCAGCACAAATGATCATATGCTAAAGTTCATAAATAATTCCACCTTTTCTTTCAAATGAAAGCCTTTCTTTGATGGCACTTTTACATCCACCTTGTCCTTCTATTTACAACCAGACTCTTTTAACAGTCCCTATGCCTGCCATGCTCCTGACCTTTAGCCTCTCCTTCACAGTGTGAATCTTCACACTGCATCCAGATCTCATCATATGCACTGAATGCCATTAGCAAACCTCAGAGCCTTTGTAATGAATGAGCTACGGAGTCAGAGCAGCTGTAAATCCATCTATGGAACTGAAATGGGGAAAAAATGAATAACTTATGAGTTCAGATTGACAACGTTGACTTCTGATTGGATATGTCACTGAGGAATAACACATATGGGTTGCAATAATGACTCAGTAGTGATAAAAAAAAAAAAAAGCATTAAACATTGGTAATTATTAAGAAAAGATTAATGATAGAAATCATAACAAAAGGAAAAGAGATTGAAAGAAAAGACATCATTGCGACAGTGCACAACTTCACTCAGCACCTTGATTATATCATATGCACTCCATGAACTTCCCAACAGACTTTCCTCCCCACCAAAAATAAAGGTACAGTGCAATTGAAGAGGGTGGCCATGAACAAAGTTATGGAGCATGTTCTGTAGGAGGAAAAGTCTATATACTTAAGGCTTTTCAGCCTTGAAAGATGGACCTGCTAGAGGTATGACACTTAGTGGCATTATTGATGGTAGGAGCAGACTACTGATGGTAGTGATCATCTCTTCCAACACAAGAGCTGTTGGATTTGATCTTAGAGGTCTTTCCAACCTGAATGATTTAATGAAGTGACACCATTCTGCTTCTTGTGGTCTTTCAGCACAAATCTCTGGAGGATGGAGTTGATTTCTTGAGGCTGCATTATATGACTGCCCTGTTCTTTAATTTTCCCAAGTCACTTTGACTCTGCCAAAGAGAGGAGACAGGGCCAGACTGTCCTTGGGTCTGTTGTTCCTATCTGGTTTATCAGTGCAATGGACTGTCTAGTGATGATAAGTTTATTGATTTCCAAGTCAACTTAAGGCAAGAAAATGAAGTGGAATCTCAAGAGATCACCAAATAGAGAGGGGAGGCTTGCCTTTAGTTCTCACTTCTCATAAATGAATGAGTATTTTCTCATAATGTTGTAAGTGAAGGTGGGATGCATCAGCTATCCACTACCATAGAATCATAGAATATCTCAAGTTGGAAGGGATCCATAAAGATCATCAAGTCCTACCATGCACCAGCATCCCCTAGAGCAGTGTACCCATGGCCATGTCCCTGCACTCGTAAAGAAGGACTGCATTTGCAAGAAGTAGGATGAGATAGGACAAGAGCAAACGGCCTCAAGATGTGCCAGGGGAGGTTCAGTTTGGATATAAGGAAAAACATCTTATCTGAAAACTCAGATTCAGGTCAGTCACTGGAACAGGCTACCCAGTGAAGTGGTGGAGTCACTGTTCCTGGAGGAGCTCAAGAAACGTGGAGATGTGCCACTGAGGGACATGGTTTAGTGGGCAATACTGGTTGGACTAGATGATCATAGAGGTCTTTTCCAACATTAATGACTGCATGATTCTATGAACTGCGCAGGTTAAGTGCCATCAGCCAGGCTAAGCTCTGGCAAGTATGCTGGCAGACTAATGAAAGTCTTCCCCTCTTGGCATGAGAATCATTACCAGGCTCCTGGGAAGAGCTCCTTTTCTTTCTTTCCCTCCATATATAAGTGGTTTTTATTGCATCTCACTCATATACAGAAATGCCTCTGAGATCATGATGCTTCAGGCAGCACTGTCCTCCAGCCATGCTGGGGGGGCCTTAGCAGCCCTAGTGGATAGGGGGAAAACTGAGCTATGAGCAGAAAAGAACAAAAATGAAAGAGGCGGTTGGGTAATCTGTCTGTAAAAGGCACTGGTGCTGGGCCAGGGCTTGGTGCCTTGGTGACAGCCAGGAATGGGCCAAGATAGGAGCTGAAAGCAGCAGAGCATGCTCTGCCAGTAACTCAGTGAGACAGAACCATTACTCTGGCTTGACACAGTCCAGGAACTTCTGGGCACTGGGGAGGGGTAAAATGTTTATTGGTTCCTGGCTGGTGCCAGGATGGCAGAGCACAGTGCTTTGAATGAGGGGTTGGGAAGGGAGGGATGCCCAAGATAAAGTAAAATCTGACATATGGGGCAAATGAGTCTTTATCACAATGAAATGTGCAAGCTTCTAAGCTGTATCTCCTCTTTTTTTTTTTTTTTTTTTTTTTTCCTTCTTTTTTTCTTTCCTTTTTCTTTGCCTTTCTATTTATTTATTTCTTTTTAATACCCAAATTTTATGGCTACCCTGAATGACCCTAGAAGGAACTCAGTGCTTTCTACAGAGCACTCTGAGATAACTCCCCTAGAACCAGCTATTTCCACGCTGTGTTCATCGCCTCTAGTGTCAACTTGAAGGATATTTTGTGACCCAAATGGTCTCTCCCCATGACACTGATGACTCCAGGACCAGAATGAAGTTATTCAGAGCGTATAGCAGGGAATCTGAAAGACTAATGTGTCTCATGCTGTCTAATCCATCTCTGGATGAATGTCGATGAAAAGTGATTAGAAAATGGGAAAGCTGTCTTGTTTTTCTTACAGAATGATAAATATTCCTTTCTTTGTTTGAAACAAGTTGTGGCTGCAATTACTTCTTCTTATAATACAAACCTCCGAAGACAATAGTTTATGTTGTGGCTGATTTAACAGAAAAGCAA